ACGAGGGATGTAATGTCCAGATGTCCATGGCTTATAATGAACAACTTTAATGTTCCCGTAAAAATGAAAAAAATAAAATAAAATAAAATAAAATGAAATTGAGATAGAGAGAGGTTCAGGTCTTCCTCGTAAAACCCAAGAACAAAACCTCAACAACTCCTGCACCAGAAGACCCTTATTTTCTAAGAATGTGATAAAGGCGTTCTAAGAAATCCACCCCAAACCCAGAAGCTTTTGAAGCATTCAACAAAGGAGTCAACCCCTAAGGCATAAAGCTTTTCAAGCTTTAATGGCGTCTTCTCAGGTTCATGAGGTAGTTCTTCCTTGACCGTTGTTTATGTATTTTCTTTGTCTTGATTTGGGTAAAAACCGGTGAAAATTAAAGCCTTTTTCACCTTGTTCTTCACTGTTCGTTTTTCATCTCAAATCTGTGGGGTATAAGCCTCATTTGTTTTACTGTAAAATGAGTTGATGCTTTCTTGGCTTGCCGTGAGATGGATTTATTTTGTTTCTATTATTTTAATAGGTATATTCTCTTGTTTTGAATAGGGTCTTTTCTCTGCAGATTTGTCAGTGATGAAACCTGGGTTTTTATGGATTAATGAGTTTTTTCCAAGAACTTGCAGCGAAGAAGTGAGAACCTGAAGTATTATGCTAATCTCTCATATTGGTTTTTACCGTTGAGATAAAATGAATACTGAAATCACACTTTGGATGGAACTGAGATAGGTTTAATGGGTTTTTATAAGAGAAATCGTAGTAAAGATGTGGGTTTTAAGCGTCTACTTCCCTTGATCCTTTGTGTGCTTTTGGGGGTTCTGGGATTGATTGTTTTCATAAGGAGAGATACATTTTCAAAACTTTCGACATGGATATCTGATGATATATATCAAGTTTATATTCCAGAACGAAAAGATGGTCAAATTTTGAGTTTACCAAAACCCAATTTACCAGCCCAAAGCAAGCATTCTGAATCACTGGAACTGAGGAATAGCTTGCCTCCTAAGAACATAGATCTTTTCCCTAGCTTGCCAAACGATCATGTTAAAATTGTTCTCTACGTTCACAATAGGCCTCAGTATCTCAAGGTAGTTATAAAAAGCCTTTCGAAGGTTGTGGGTATCAGTGAAACACTATTGATAGTCAGCCATGATGGGTACTTCGAAGAAATGAATAAAATTGTTGAGAGTATCAAGTTTTGTCAAGTGAAACAGATTTTTGCACCCTATTCACCCCACCTATTCCCGAATTCATTCCCTGGCATGTCTCTTAATGACTGCCAAAAGAGGGATGATCCTTTAGAGAAGAGCTGTACAGGGAATGCCGATCAATATGGGAATCATAGATCACCTAGGATTGTATCTCTGAAGCATCACTGGTGGTGGATGATGAACACTGTGTGGGATGGTTTAGAGGAGACCAAGCACCACTCTGGTCACATTTTGTTCATTGAAGAAGACCACTATATTTTACCTAATGCATATAGAAATATCCAGATTTTGATTCAGTTGAAGGCTCATAAGTGTCCGAATTGCTATGCTGCGAATTTGGCTCCATCTGATGTGAATTTGAAGGGCGAAGGTTGGGAGAGCTTGGTAGCTGAGAAGATTGGCAATGTGGGTTATGCTTTTAATAGAACTGTTTGGACCAAGATTCATTCTAGAGCTCAAGAGTTCTGTTTTTTTGATGATTATAATTGGGATATAACTATGTGGGCTACTGTTTATCCCTCTTTTGGCTCCCCAGTTCACACTTTAAGAGGCCCCAGAAGAAGTGCGGCTCATTTTGGTAAGTGTGGATTGCATCAAGGTCAGGGGACAAAGAATGTGTGTATTGACAATGGGTCAGTTGGTTTTGATGTTGAGGAGCAAGACAAATTTCCAAACATAAATGTGGAATGGGGGGTACATGAAATTCAGAACCAAGGGGGCTATCAAGCTGGATTCAAAGGCTGGGGAGGTTGGGGTGATGAGAGGGATCGCCAGTTGTGCTTAGCATTTGCTTCGATGTATCGTAACATGGGTTCTTCTTCAAGTGACTAAGGAGTTGAATCATTGCCTATCGAGGTATTGAATATGTGGAGCATGTTAGTTGCATTGTGTTTGATTAGCAGTTCGCCTTTTAATGTTTCTCTCTGATGGGTTGAGAGAGAGAGAGAGAATCTGTGAGAGATCTTGAATCTTGAATATTCCTCCTCTTCTTGTCTTTCTCTGCTGTTGTTTCACATTATTCTTGTAATGAACATCCCTATACTGAGAATCACTCTATCTGAAGTGTCTATGTTTTTGTTGAGAGATTGGAACAGAGAAACGGTGGGGGATCATGGATGTCCCTCTCTTCTTTTCTTTGCTGGAGTTTCATATTATGGCTGTAATGAGCATTTTTCAACAGATAATCATATCATTTGAATAGTTCCTTGTGCATACATTTGTTTGTTGTCAGCTGGCATATTATCTGCTTTCTAGGATTAAAATCCAGGCTCTAGTTTAACTTGTTGTTATGTTAGAGTATGTTTACCTTTTCACTTTCCATTTTCGTTTTGATGATTGTGTAGCTTTTCTTGTATCATTAACTTGCGCTGACAATTATGAATAACAATTGAAAATTTAGTGTTCCTATTGCACTGCAGTATAGGACGTAGTTGTCATGAATGTGGGTTGTCTGGCTTTTTGTGTCACTGCAACAACCATTTTGACTTGTGCTGTGGTGATTCTATGGGATACTATTTGATCATAAAAACTATGGATACACAGGGTATGCGTTTGGGTCCTGCTACATTACCAGCAAATAGCAGCTGATATATGGGTAATTTTCATTTGGCATTATTCCTTTCAGTTGAAACTTTTTGTTCTCGCTGCCAGAAATGATTCTCCTGTTCAAATCGTCATGCCTACTCAAACATGTATCTCCTAGTTGATTTATCAATAGATAATTTGTTTGCTGTAATTGATTATTTCATGGTTTTTCTCTCAAAAGAAAGTTATTATTCGTGATTTGCTGCTTACTTGACGCTATTGTGTTACTTGAAAAGTTATTTTTCTTGAGCTCTCTTCATTTGTTGGTTGGTGTTAAATCATTGCAATCTTATGTTGATGTAGCAGTTTCCCCTTAGATGAGAACCAGTATTGTTATTTGTCATCAATACATTTGACCATCTAGTATGGTTTATAATTTTGATAGTGCACCAAATGAATGTCTTAAAAGTCAGGGCATCTAGCCACCTCAAATGCAGCTATAGGGGCACACCGACCGCACTTTGCTGGGGCCCTCTAAGAACCCTCTTGGGCAGGCTCAGCGTCACCTACCATCTTGGCCCAAGTGTGGGTGCCCTTGAGCCCCTACGCAAGGAATGCCCTCAGGTAGGCACCTTTTGTGTCAATTTTCCATACTAAAAAGGAGGAAGGGTCTCGTAGGTATTCTAATCTCTAAACTCTTTTATGGAGTGATTTAAAAGAGAAGACCTCCTGGAATCTCTCTTTCTGAATTTTGTCCGATCAAGATTCTTATGGGTTTCAATAGGAACTTCCAAAACAAAGGGGGTTATTGTCGATCTATTGTGGGACTCATGGAGGAGTTTGAAGGGGTCTTTGCATTTGATGTTCATTGATCCAGGCCAACTTCAATTAAGTTTAAAGGTTTTTTTTTTTTTTTCTAGTAAGCTTGGATTTGTTGACTTTTTTCCCGGATTGAATTTTGTTTGTTTGACTTTCTTCAAGATTGGATTTTGGCTTCTTTTTTTTTTATTTTTTTTACTTTTTTCAAGTTTGGGTTTTGTCTACTTCTTTTTATGTTGAAACTGGTAATGTTTTACGTTGATGTTCATGATTACAAAAAGAAAACGTTGTCTTATTTGCACAAGAAAAACATTGGATACCTAGAAGACTAGAATTTATTTAAAAAAATCAAAATTAGGGGGTTTCCCCAACCTGGCACCCCACTCCCTTCAAATCGTATGTGGGCTCTCAGTTATGTGGTGCCTGCCTAGGCTGCCAAGGTGACTTGTGTATCTTAAAGCAATGGTTAAGTTAGCAAGCCAAGTAACATGTTAGGATCACTTAAAATATGTTTTGGTTGATGAATGGGCCTTTGAGATATTGACCTCGGTTTTGATGAACTAGGTTATCCATTTCTCTGGTTTGTGAACTTCACTATAATGCTCATATGAGGTAGGCTCTAGAAATGTACTTACCCCCCTTGGCTGGTTTGTCCATCTTGTGTTGCATTTTGATTCAGTCTTATTACTGGTTTGGATCACTTGATTTAAACTATTCTCATTGGTTGGTTTGCTAAATTGAAAGAAGACATCATCATCATCATTCGAGCCGTATCCCAACTATCTGAGGCCAGCTACACGAATCCCTATTATGCCCATCCGCTCTATTTAGGGCCATGTCCTTAGTTAGACTATATGTCATCATACTTGTTTTCACGACTTCCATCCATATTCTACTGGGTCTTTCCCGTGCACGTTTAGAGCTTTTCATAGTCGATGCTGAACATGACCAGACCACCTAAGTTTACTTTCCCTCATTTTATTGCCTATTGGATCTACCCCTAAGTTCACTCAAATGTACCCATTCCGAATTCTATCCATCCTTGTCTTGCCACTCATGCATTTCAACATCCTCATCTCAACTACAATCATTATATGGATATGTTGTTTCTTGACCACTCAACAATCGGTTCTATAAATGTAATTGGGCATATCTATAAGCCTTTTCATCATTTCAGTGTGTTTGAGTTTGTATCGTCTGGTCCTTCTCTCAGGGACTATGACACAACTGAGGTCCTCGAGTGGTGGACCTAACTTTGACGGTGTAACTCCTTTTAAATTTTAAGTTAAGTCAACTTCTATAAAAAAAACAATGTGTTCTATAAAACATGGTTGGTCTTACAACTGTCCCATAGAACTTCCTCTTTAGTATAATTGGTATACAATGACCGCATAAGACTTTAAAAGCACATCTCCTCTTCATCCACCCAGCTATAATTCTATGAGCAACATCTTCCTCAATCTCTCCGTTCTCATGGATTATCAATCCGAGATATCGAAAATAAATTTTTTGAGGTACTTCTTTGTCATCAATCTTAACTAATTTATCGTTTCTGCTCTTATTATTTCTAAACTTGCATTCTATATATTATGTCTTTGTCCAGCTAATTTTATAACATTTAGATTCTAAAGCAACTCTACAAAGTTTTAACTTTGCATTTATGCCGTTTATAGTTTCATCAATCACGACTATGTCATCCTCAAACAACGTACAACATGGGACCTCATCCTGTAGGCACCTAGTAAAATTGTCCATAACCCAAGTAAAGAGATATAGGCTCCATGCTGACCCCTGATGTAGCCTATTATATCCGAAAATTCACTTGTCTCTCTGCTAGTTATCTTCACATTAGTTAGTGCTCCCTCGTACATATTCCTAACTATGTCAATATCCTCTTGAAACTTCTTTCTTTTCCAGCACCCAACAAAGTATCTCTCTAGGTACCATAGTGTATGCTTTCTCTAAATCAATAAAGACCATATAAAGGTCTTTTCTCTTCTCCCTAAACTTCTCAAGCAATTGCATTAAGTAGGAAAATAGCTTCAATGGTTGACCTTCCTGACATAAATCCATACTGATTTTATGATACACTCGTTTGATGTCTTAGTCATTGCTCAATCAGTTTCTCATAATTTCAAAATGTGGCTCATAAGTTTGATGCCTTGATAGTTTGTACAATTTTATATTTCTCCTTTGTTCTTGTTAATAAATATTACAGTACTTTTTGTTCATACATGTGACATTTTATTTGTTCTCAAAACCTTATTGAACAACATGGTTAACCAGAATATGCCAATCTATCCCATGCACTTGCAAACCTATATTTGTATTATCATCTGGTCCTAAAGCTTTTTCTATCTTCATCTTTCTTAAAACTTATGTTATTTCAGATATCCTAATCTTATGAAAGCATCTATGACCTCCAATCTCATTTATGTCAATGATTCCTCCTAACTCCGAGCTTAGAATTGTCGTCATTTAACAAATTTTTAAAATATATTCTCCACCTTTCATTGACCCCCATCATCCTTCACCTGTACCCTTTGATCTCACTGTTAATGCATGTAACATAATATAGGTTTCTCAATTTCCTCTTTTTTATTTTTGCTAGTTTGAAGACCTCTTTTCATCTCTTCTTGTCCGTAATTTAATGTATGGATCGCCTTACTGTTTTCGTAAAGTTCCTCTTACGTCTTAGCATTTCTATATTCTTCTTAATTCTAATCATTTTTATTCCTTTGCCATGCTTTATACATGTTCGTTTTTTGCTATTAGCTTTTTGAACCTCATCATCTCACCACCTAGTTTCCGTATTTGAAAGTCTTTTCCCTATTGATTCTCCTAAAACTTCTTTTGTCATTTTCTTAATAAAATCAACCACCTAATTCCATGTAAGATTAACTTCCCGAATGAAATCTATTTTCTCATTTTTTGACTTCCACCACCTGGTTCTTAGACACCCATTAATGTCACTCTTTCAATTTCATCTCTTAATGCAAAGTTTATGATGCATGGTCAAACTCTCTCCTAAAATAACCTTACAATCTTTACATGATGATTGTTTTGTCTTCTTACCTTGGAAAAAGTCTATTTGGTTTTATATGATCCAATTTTCTAAGTAATTAAATGTTCACCCCACTTTTTAATGATAAATTAAAAGGCGTGATTAATTATTTTTTGGCCTTTTCATAATAACAACAATAGCAATCTACACAAACATGAAACTATATAGTCATTTTTGTATCCATGGATCCATACGTTCATGTGGCAAAGATAGAAGAGAAAAAATTAACTTGAAAGGACTGTACCCACTCCGTGTGCAATAATACCCTTTAAATGAACGGGGAAAAATATAATATGTACATTCTTTTCGTACCTACTTAATGTACCTCTCTCTCTCTCTCTAAACCTCACCTATTTCTTTACCCACTTAATGTACCTCTCACTCTCTAAACCTCTCCTATTCCTTTACCCACTTTTTCCTTCTCTTTTGCCATTTTTCTCTCTCTAAACCAGTACTGGACTCTCTCTTAGCAACAAGAAGATCAGTCCCTCTCCAAAGCCCTCCTTTCTTTGAGATAATGCGTATGAGAAAGGAGAGTGTAGGTTTGTGGTTAGTGAGAAGAACGACCAGTCCTTGACCTCACCCCAATACAAGAGGCGCTTGGCCATGGAGTAAGCAAAGGCTTCTCCAACTTTGTGCCCTTTGTTCTTTTCCAACCTGATTACTTTTCAAAGAATGATAAGCCATCTGGTTCCACAAAGACCTCATCCTCTATTTTCTCCTAGTGTTTGTACTACTCAAGAGAGGAGCAAAAGTGATTCTTCAGTTGGAGGGGCCCAACAACGGAAAATCCTGAGAATAAGAGAGATTGGAAGCAAGGATTTTGCTAGCAAAACTCTCGAGCAGGTTCATTCATTCTCTTGCTAATACAGAAGAACCCAAATACCAGCATTTATTTTCAGTCCCTGTCCTATTCATAACACAACCAACAAAAAAAAGAAAAAACAAAACCATAAAATAACAGCTCAATGGATTTTTATCATCTTCACACAAATCCGCCAATATGTTGAAACTAAAGCTGCATCTTATTCTTCCTTTCAATAAGTTAAGCTTGCTTCTTAACAACTCAACAGACTCAAATTTCAAGTACCTGAGGAAGCTGGAAAGAGATTTGTTTTTTCACATGTAAATAACATACCTGGCGCTCTTATTTGAGCTTGTGTTTATTCATGTCCTTCTTCTTAAATGTAAATCCCAAAACCCACATTGGGAGGTTTCACAACAAACACGCAAGATGCAATGTCATGAATAAACATATTAGGCATTTAAGATGCTAATGAATAGCCTAATCAGCCATGCACAAACAGTAATTAACATCTAGCCAAAACAGCCATGCATTAAGTTTAAATGTTTCACATACATTGGGATTTATTCAGCTAATGAATATCTTTGTCGGCCACGCACAGTCAATAGTATGAACAAACAGTAGTCATGAAGAATAAGTGGCATTAATGACAGTAAATATGTCTTATCAACCATGAACAAACATTGAGGAATATCCAATCAAAACTAGTAACTTTACGCTCTCTCCACATCATTTCTCTCACTCCTCTCTCTAAAACTTACTGAGACAGATCTTCCTCATTTGCTCCTGCATCCCAATTGTCACCCCTTTCCAAAGCTCTCATCAACCCTCTCACTTGCCATCTTCATCCCTTTCTCGCTCTAAGGCTACTAGGCCTCAACTCCCCTCAAATTCTTTGAGCTCGAAGCTCCACATGAAATCGGCCCCCTTTTGGATCCAACTTGCTCTTACTATGTCTTGATTGCCATCGAAGGAAGCCTGTAGAAGGGAGGAGATTGTGCTATAATGGAAAGAATTTAACATGGAGGGATTGTGGAGAGAGAGAATGGAAAGAATTTAACATGGAGGGATTGTAGAGAGAGAGAGTGAGAGAGAGAGAGAGAGAGAGAGAGAGAGAGAGAG